CGGCAACGCCGGGATATTATATGTGGATGTGCACAGCAATTCAATATCACGTTGTCATGCGGCATATTAATGCACCGCTGAGGACCGGCAGAGAACGGCCGATATTATGTCATTTAGCAGCGGAGGACTTTGTGCTGAATGTGTCGCTTCCTCTGCGCCCCGCCGGCAGCTGCTGAAAAATGACTGAAGACGCCGAAACACGCTGAGAAAACGCCTTCAACCTTCAGCGGGAAAATCAAGAAACGTCTAACGCCGCCGCGTGCTGCTGTCCTGGGCAGAGGATAGATACCCCCGAGAAACCATCACAAGCCCCCCACTGATGGGCGGGGGTGTACTTAGATCCTGTGCTGCCCTGGGCAACACAAACATTTTGTGCCCCCCCCCCCCCCACAGTGAGAGAGAGTTAAATAATTGTGTATATAGGATTCTTTCTCCCTCTCTCTCTTCACTCCCCCCCCTCTCTCCTTCCCTCCCCCCCTCTCTCTCCTCTCCCCCCCCTCTCTCTCCTCTCCCCCCCTCTCTCTCCTTCCCCTCCCCCCCTCTCTCCCCTCCTTCCCCCCCCTCTCTCCCCCTCCCTCTCTCCCCCCCTCCCTCTCATCCCTCCCCCCTCCCCCCCCCTCCCTCTCCCCTCCCCCCCTCTCCCCCCTCCCTCTCTCCCCCCTCCCTCTCTCCCCCCTCCCTCCCTCTCTCTCCCCCTCCCTCCCTCTCTCTCCCCTTCCCTCCCTCTCTCTCTCCCCTCCCCTCTCCCCCTCCCTCTCCCTCCTTCCCGCTTTCTCCCCCCCCCCCCTTTCTCCCTCCCCTCTCTACCCCCCCTCCCTCCCTCTCTCTCTCTCCCCCCCCTCTCCCCCTCTTCCTCTCTCTCTCCCCCCCTCTCTCTTCCCCCCCTCTCTCTCTCCTCTCCCCCCTCTCTCTTCCCCCCCTCTCTCTCTCCTCTCCCCCCTCTCTCTTCCCCCTTTCCCTCCCTCTCTCTTCCCTCTTCTCTCTCCCCCCCCCCCTCTACCCCCCCCCCCCCCTCTTCCCCCCTTTCTCTACCCCTCGCGGTAGATCCGCCCCTGCTTATGGGAGATGTGTTGGAATGAGACATGTGACTGGAATGGGAATAGGACAAATGGGTAGTGGAGGGGCAGACCATGCACCAGACAGGGACACCCAGGAACGGTCCAAGTAGGTTAGTCCTACACCTCTATTCTGCAAGGCAGCAAACAAACACATAGCATGAAACCAATAAAACGTCTACTCATCCGATCCAACTGTGAGGGGTGATGGAGAAAATAAAAGTGCAGTTGTTAGGTGTACTCTTCGTTCCTCCCAAGACCTCCTGCTCTCTAGCTCCCTTGTCACCTCCCACACTCACCTCCAGGACTTCTCCTGAGCCTCCACCATCCTCTGGAACTACCTTCCCCAATCTGTCTGGCTATCTCCTATTAGTCTTAAAAAGTAATTCAGATTATGAGATTATAAATTCAATCTCCTCCCCCCCCCCCCCCCCACTGAAACCAAAATGGTCGTCTTGTTGTTTGGCCTCTAGTCGAGTAAAGAGTGTAAAGAGGAGGAAGCCTTACTTTGTAGAAGGAGGAGGAGGCATTTCCTCAGTCTCCCCTCCCCCAGTGATCGGACTGTACATTGTAACTTTGTAGAAGGAGGAGGAGGCATTTCCTCAGTCTCCCCTCCCTAGTGATCAGACTGTACATTGTAACTTTGTAGAAGGAGGAGGAGTCATTTCCTCAGTCTCCTCCCCCAGTGATCGGACTGTACATTGTAACTTTGTAGGAGGAGGAGTCATTTCCTCAGTCTACCCTCCCCCAGTAATCGGACTGTACATTGTAACTTTGTAGAAGGAAGAGGGGGAGTTTCTTTAGTCTCCCCTCCCCCAGTGATCAGACTGTACATTGTAACTTTGTATCAAGTCAGCTGTTAGAAATCCAAGAAACAAAATGTGGTTCTTTTTCATCACCCCCAACAATTAGCGTCTTCTTCTATGTACTGAGACTAGGTAGCTTTCCTTCAAGGGGGACACATGCTGCCCCGAGCCGAACATCTCCCGTCACCCCCCCCCCCCCTCCACCCAGACCGATCTACTGGCAGCAGCAGGATTGGAGCCCACAGACTGGAAATCGTTCATAAATAAATGATAACAACAATCAGATAAATAAATGATCATATTATTATTATTTGCTTCATTATTTATTTAGAGGAGTTCATGAATATTTCATTCGGTTTTATAAGCTGCATTCATTTTTTTTTTAATTCAGGAGAAAACTTTAATCGGAAAACATAATTAAAAAACAGATTAGCGGAATTTGCGGAAAATAGATTGCAAAAATGACAAAGGAATTCCCGCCATCGAGAGACTCTGTACACGCGGCCGGACACACGCGGATCCGACTTGCAGCTTTTTTACATTATTATTTTTTAAAGCCATTAGATACATTGTATATAATCCTGGCTTATAGTAAAGTGAGCCCCTTAGTGAATGTAATCAATCAGCATATTATATCCCGCCCTCATTTACCACTGTGTATACTCCCACATGTGTGACTCTATAGTCACTCGGGCTGCACTGATAAGAAAAATGAGGAAACAAAGAGCTTAAAAGGGAACTGAAACTGGAGCATGCTCAGTAGGGGACAACAGCTGGTCTACACAATCTTAGGTTGCAGTGGGGACACAGAAAAGATGGGAGGGACAGCTAAAGGCAGGATCAACCAGGTATCTTTCACTCTACACAACAACCTCCTTGATCCCCTACAGTCCGGCTTCCGTCCCCTACACTCCACCGAAACCTCCTTACTCAAACTCTCCAACGACCTGCTAACCACCAAAGCTAATGGCCACTACTCAGTCCTCCTACTCCTTGACCTCTCCGCTGCCTTCCACACAGTCCACCACCCCCTTCTCCTCAAGAAACTACACTCCCTCAGCCTCAGAGACTCCGCTCTCTCCTGGCTCTCATCCTACCTGTCAGAACGCTCTTTCAGCGTTACCTATAATGCCACCACCTCCCCCTCACTCCCCCTCTCTGTTGGGGTCCCTCAAGGCTCTGTCCTCAGGCCCCTTCTCTTCTTCATCTACACCTCCTTCCTTAGTCAACTCATACACTCTCACGGCTTCAACTACCACCTCTATGCCGACAACACACAAATCTATCTCTCAACCCCCCACCTCACCCCCTCAGTCTCCGCCCCCCACCTCACCCCCTCAGTCTCTGCCCGATTTACCCACCTACTGAACGACATATCAGACTGGATGTCGCTCCACTTCCTCAAACTGAACCTCTCCAAAACCGAGCTCCTAGTTTTCCCCCCAGTCCGCGCCCCCCAGTGACTTCTCCACCATGGCCAACAACGCCCCTATCAGTCCCACCCTGCAAGCCAAAGTCCTAGGTGTCACTCTAGACTCCAATCTGTCCTTCCAACCCCATGTCCAATCATTGGCAAACTCATGCAGGCTCCACCTCCGCAACATCTCCAAAATACGTTCGTTCCTAACCCCAGACACTACTAAACAACTCATCCACTCCCTTATTATATCACGTCTGGACTACTGCAACTCCCTCCTCACCGGCCTACCCCAACACAGACTATCCCTGCTTCAGTCTATCCTGAATTCTGCGCCCAGACTCATCCACCCCACCAACCGCTCCGTCTCCGCCACCCCCCTCTGCCAATCCCTCCACTGGCCTCCACTCAGTGTCCTCCACCCCCTCTGCCAATCCCTCCACTGGCCTCCACTCAGTGTCCTCCACCCCCCTCTGCCAATCCCTCCACTGGCCTCCATTCAGTGTCCTCCACCCCCCTCTGCCAATCCCTCCACTGGCCTCCATTCAGTGTCCTCCACCCCCCTCTGCCAATCCCTCCACTGGCCTCCACTCAGTGTCCTCCACCCCCCCTCTGCCAATCCCTCCACTGGCCTCCACTCAGTGTCCTCCACCCCCCTCTGCCAATCCCTCCACTGGCCTCCATTCAGTGTCCTCCACCCCCCTCTGCCAATCCCTCCACTGGCTCCCGATTGCCCAACGCATAAAATTCAAAATATTAACATTGACGTACAAAGCCATTCATAATACTGCCCCAAACTACATCACCGACCTGATACCCAAATACCACCCAAAACGCACTCTCCGCTCCTCACAAGACCTCCTACTCTCCAGCTCCCTGGTCTCCTCCTTCCATGCCCGTCTTCAGGACTTCTCCAGGGCTTACCCCATCCTCTGGAACTCACTACCCCAATCCATCAGACTGTCACATACCCTCCTCACCTTTACGCGCACCCTGAAAACCCATCTCTTCAGGGAAGCCTACCCCACCCTCACCTAATTGCTAATCTCCTCCGCTCTCCCCACCACTCCATCCCCCACAGCCACTTCCTCCTGTACCACTCTCCCCTCCCTCCTAGATTGTAAGCTCCAAGGAGCAGGGCCCTCGAACCCCTCATGTATTGTATTGTTACTGTACTGTCCCCCATTATAATGTACAGCGCTGAGCAAACTGTTGGCACTATATAAATCCTGTATAATAATAATAATAATAATACACATAACAAATGCTTTAGCAGCTTTGTGAGTACGCACAGTCTGTAATATAGCAGGGCCGGATCTAGCCTGTCCAATGTGGGGGTGCAGTAAAAAATATTGGGGGGCAGGGGATGGAAGGTCAGCAGGGAAGAGGAAAGGGGTCACTGCTGGCAGGGCAGAGGACAGGGGTCACTGCTGACAGGGCAGAGGACAGGGGTCACTGCTGACAGGGCAGAGGACAGGGGTCACTGCTGGCAGGACAGAGGACGGGGGTCACTGCTGGCAGGACAGAGGACGGGGGTCACTGCTGGCAGGACAGAGGACGGGGGTCACTGCTGACAGGACAGAGGACGGGGGTCACTGCTGGCAGGGCAGAGGACGGGGGTCACTGCTGGCAGGGCAGAGGACGGGGGTCACTGCTGGCAGGTCAGAGGACGGGGGTCACTGCTGACAGGACAGAGGACGGGGGTCACTGCTGGCAGGGCAGAGGACAGGGGTCACTGCTGGCAGGGCAGAGGACAGGGGTCACTGCTGGCAGGGCAGAGGACAGGGGTCACTGCTGGCAGGGCAGAGGACAGGGGTCACTGCTGGCAGGACAGAGGACAGGGGTCACTGCTGGCAGGACAGAGGACAGGGGTCACTGCTGGCAGGACAGAGGACAGGGGTCACTGCTGACAGGGCAGAGGACAGGGGTCACTGCTGGCAGGGCAGAGGACGGGGGTCACTGCTGGCAGGGCAGAGGACGGGGGTCACTGCTGGCAGGTCAGAGGACGGGGGTCACTGCTGACAGGACAGAGGACAGGGGTCACTGCTGGCAGGGCAGAGGACGGGGGTCACTGCTGGCAGGGCAGAGGACGGGGGTCACTGCTGGCAGGTCAGAGGACAGGGGTCACTGCTGACAGGACAGAGGACGGGGGTCACTGCTGGCAGGGCAGAGGACGGGGGTCACTGCTGGCAGGGCAGAGGACGGGGGTCACTGCTGGCAGGTCAGAGGACGGGGGTCACTGCTGGCAGGGCAGAGGACGGGGGTCACTGCTGGCAGGACAGAAGACGGGGGTCACTGCTGGCAGGTAAGAGGACAGGGGTCACTGCTGGCAGGACAGAGGACAGGGGTCACTGCTGGCAGGGCAGAGGACAGGGGTCACTGCTGGCAGGGCAGAGGACAGGGGTCACTGCTGGCAGGGCAGAGGACAGGGGTCACTGCTGGCAGGTCAGAGGACAGGGGTCACTGCTGACAGGACAGAGGGGGGGGTCACTGCTGGCAGGGCAGAGGACGGGGGTCACTGCTGGCAGGGCAGAGGACGGGGGTCACTGCTGGCAGGTCAGAGGGACGGGGGTCACTGCTGGCAGGGCAGAGGACGGGGGTCACTGCTGGCAGGACAGAAGACGGGGGTCACTGCTGGCAGGTAAGAGGACAGGGGTCACTGCTGGCAGGACAGAGGACAGGGGTCACTGCTGGCAGGGCAGAGGACAGGGGTCACTGCTGGCAGGGCAGAGGACAGGGGTCACTGCTGGCAGGGCAGAGGACAGGGGTCACTGCTGGCAGGGCAGAGGACAGGGGTCACTGCTGGCAGGGCAGAGGACAGGGGTCACTGCTGGCAGGGCAGAGGACAGGGGTCACTGCTGGCAGGGCAGAGGACAGGGGTCACTGCTGGCAGGGCAGAGGACGGGGGTCACTGCTGGCAGGGCAGAGGACAGGGGTCACTGCTGGCAGGACAGAGGATGGGGATCACTGCTGACGGGGCAGAAGACGGGGGTCACTGCTGACGGGGCAGAAGACGGGGGTCACTGCTGACAGGGCAGAGGATGAGAGATCAGTAGGACAGGGCAGAGGACAGAGATGTTATGTAAAAAAACCCCCAAAAAACCCGAACCTTTAATAGCACTTTAAGTTCGTCTCTATAACTAATTTGCAAATTGCTATTGCGGCACAAAACAGGGGTAAGCGCTGCAGGGGCCCCCTGTGTTTCTGAGTTCCATTGCTGTTGTACAGTCTGCTAGCCCATATGGAAGAAAAATATATTTGAAATGCTACAATTTTGGCTGTATTCAATATATTTCAAAAGATATACACTGTATGTTAAAATGCGTTTTTATTACAAAATGTATAAAAAATATTTTTAAAAATACATGTAAAAAAAAAACGCTTTTCAACATGCCATGTACAGTTGCAAGAAAAAGTATGTGAACCCCTTGGGATTCCGTGGAGTTTTGCATGAATTGGGCATAAAATGTGCTCTGAACGTCATCTAAGTCACAACAATAGAAGAACACAGTCTGCTGAACATAATACTACACAAACATTAGATGTTGCCATGGTTTAATTGCACATAACATGTAAACATTCACAGTGCAGGGAGGAAAAAGTATGTGAGACCCTAGCTTAATGACTTCTCCCAGAGCTAATTGGAGCCAGGAGTGAGCCAACCTTGACTCCAATCAGTGTGATGATATTGGATGTGTTGCTGACACCTGTTTTGGGTTTACTGGTTTCAAGAAGCACTGTCTGATGTGAACCATGCCTCGCAGAAAAGAGCTCTCAGAAGACCTACCATCAAGAATTGTTGACTTGCATGAAGCTGGAAAGGGTTACAAAAGTATCTCCTTGAGCCTTGATGTTCATGTGTCCACGGTAAGACTGACTGTCTACAAATGGAGAAAGTTTAGCACTGTTGCTACTCTCCCTAGGCGTGGTCGTCCTGTAAAAATGACTGCAAGAGCACAGCGCAGAATGCTGCATGAGGTAAAGAAGAATCCCAGAATGTCAGCTAAAGACCTACAGAAATCTCTGGCACATGCTAACATTTTTTTTGACACATCTACAATCAGGAAAACATTAAACAAGAATGGAGTACATGGGAGGACACCACGGAGGAAGCCATTGCTGTCCAAAAAGAATATTGCAGCACGTTTGAAGGTTGCAAAAGAGCACCTGGATGTTCCACAGCACTACTGGCAGAATATACTGTGGACAGATGACACCAAGATTGAGTTGTTTGGGAAGAACACACAACACTATGTGTGGAGAAAAAAAGGCCCAGCACACCAACATCAAAACCTCATCCCCACTGTGAAACATGGCGGAGGGAGCATCATGGTTTGGGGCTGCTTTGCTGCCTCAGGGCCTGGACGGATTGTTGTCATTGATGGGAAAATGAATTCCAGAGTTTATCAAGACATTTTGCAGGAAAACGTACGACCATCTGTCCGCCAACTGAAGCTCCGCAGAGGATGGGTGATGCAACAGGACAATGACCCAAAGCATACAAGTCATTCAACAAAACAATGGCTGCAACAGCACAGAATACGCCTTCTGGAGTGGCCCAGTCAGAGTCCTGACCTCAACCCCATTGAAATGCTGTGGCATGACCTTAAGAGAGCGATTCACACCAGACATCCCAAGAATATTGCTACACTGAAACAGTTTTGTGAAGAGGAGTGGTCCAAAATGACTCCAGATGGTTGTGCAGGTCTGATCTGCAACTACAGGAAACGTTTGGTTGAGGTTATTGCTGCCAAAGGAGGGACAACCAGTTATTAAGTCCAAAGGTTCACATACTTTTTCCTCCCTGCACTGTGAATGTTTACATGTTATGTGCAATTAAACCATGGCAACATCTAATGTTTGTGTAGTATTATGTTCAGCAGACTGTGTTCTTCTATTGTTGTGACTTAGATGACGTTCAGAGCACATTTTATGCCCAATTCGTGCAAAACTCCACGAAATCCCAAGGGGTTCACATACTTTTTCTTGCAACTGTATATATATATATATATATATATATATATATACAGTGGGGATCGAAAGTTTGGGCCCCCCAGCTAAAAATGTGTATTAATGTGCATAAAGAAGCCAAGGAAAGATGGAAAAATCTCCAAAAGGCATCAAATTACAGATTAGACATTCTTATAATATGTCAACAAAAGTTAGATTTTATTTCCATCATTTATACTTTCAAAATAACAGAAAACAAAAAAATGGCGTCTGCAAAAGTTTGGGCCCCCTGCAGAGTTAATATCTTGTACTGCCCCCTTTGGCAAGTATCACGGCTTGTAAACACTTTTTGTAGCCAGCCAAGAGTCTTTCAGTTCTTGTTTGAGGTATCTTTGCCCATTCTTCCTTACAAAAGTCTTCCAGTTCTTTGAGATTTCTGGGCTGTCTGTCACGCACGGCTCTTTTAAGGTCTATCCATAGATTTTCAATGATGTTGAGGTCAGGAGATTGTGAAGGCCATGGCAAAACCTTCAGTTTACGCCTCTTGATGTAATCCCCCGTGGATTTCCAGGTGTGTTTAGGATCATTATCCATTTGTAGAAGCCATCCTCTCTTTAACTTCAGCTTTTTCACAGATGGCATCAAGTTACCATCCAAAATTTGCTGACATTTTATTGAATCCATTTTTCCTTCTACTCGTGAGATGTTCCCTGTGCCACTGGCTGCAACACAACCCCAAAGCATGATTGATCCAACCCCATGCTTCACAGTTGGACAGAGGTTCTTTTCATTAAATTCTGTGCCCCTTCTTCTCCAAATGTACCTTTGCTCATTCTGGCCAAAAAGTTCCATTTTAACCTCATCGGTCCACAGAACTTGTTTCCAAAATGCATCAGGCTTGTCTATATGTTCATTTGCAAAGTTCAAACGATGATTTTTGTGGTGAGGACATAGAAGAGGTTTTCTTCTGATGACTCTTCCATGAAGACCATATTTGTACAAGTATCTCTTTATAGTGGAATAGTGACCACAACTCCAGTGTCTGCCAGATCTTTCTGGAGGGATCGTGCCGTCAAACGTGGGTTTTTAATTGTTTTTCTCACAATCCTGCGAGCTGTTCTATCTGATATTTTTCTTGGTCTTCCAGATCTTGCTTTAACTTCCACTGTTCCTGATGGCTGCCATTTCTTAATGACATTCCGAACAGAGGATATTGACATCTGAAAATGCTTTGCTATCTTCTTATAGCCTTCTCCAGCTTTGTGAGCGTCAACTATTTTCAGTTTCAGTTTTCTAGACAACTGCTTAGAAGAACCCATGGTGCTGATTGTTGGGGCAAGGTCAGATGAGTCTGGGCATTTAAAACCTTTGAGATTGACATCACCTGGTCTTCCCAGACGATGATTGAGAACAATCCATGACACTGGCAGGTCTCAGCTTGGCAACGGGGGCAGTGCAGGCTATAAATTCTGCAGGGGGCCCAAACTTTTGCAGACGCCATTTTTTTGTTTTCTGTTATTTTGAAAGTTTAAATGATAGAAATAAAATCTAACTTTTGTTGACATATTATAAGAATGTCTAATCTGTAATTTGATGCCTTTTGGAGATTTTTCCATCTTTCCTCGGCTTCTTTATGCACATTAATACACATTTTTAGCTGGGGTGCCCAAACTTTCCATCCCCACTGTGTATATATATATATATATATATATATATATATATATATATATATATATATATATATATATATTAGATAGATATGTCAATGTCTATCTATCTAATATATATATATATATATATATTTGGAAAAAATATTTTTAAATATATTTCAAATATATTTTTCTTCCACGTGGGTCAATTCACCCAGCTGCCTGGGCCCCCCTGCTGTCCTGGGCCCTCAACAGGAGGATTGGTGGTACCTCCTTATCCACGGCCCTGGACACAGTGGATCACGTGGTAAAGGGCCTCTGAGATTGACCCTTTACCGCAATCTGTGATCCGCGATCACAGGGCACGCCAGATGCGTGGCCCAGGACGCGTGTTCTGGGAGGACGTCTATAGACGCCTTCCCAGAACACGAGATTACCGTGACGTCGCCATCTTTCGGCTATGGTGCTCTACTAAGGGGGTGAAAGAGGTTCTTTAGTCTGCGAAGAACGTATAACACCTCCGCGCTCACCTCCAAGGGTTGGATATCCCGGGAATTGTACAATTTTTTAGTGCAGCAACATCAAGGGGTTTCCAGTATATTTTTCTTCCATGTGGGAGGGCTCAACTGTCACTCCTTTCTACCTGAACTGCAAACAACAAACGGAGAACGAATAGGAAATTGACTTCAAGCCTATGAAGCGACCCCTATTCTCAAACGCCATTGGCCACTCTCTGGGCTGAGTTGTCAGCTGCTCATCTACAGATTCCTCCTCCTCCATTCATAATACGTATCCTGGGGGAATCCTACCTACCATGACTGGGCCAAATGACACATGAGCCCATGTTGTGTTGGAAACTAGAAATGTGCTTTACTACAGATCAGAGAATATGGCGCTCTGCCCTGAATATGGACGCTTCCTCGGATAGCATGAATCGCTGTTCAGAGTGATCGTTCCTGACAACAGGCTCGTGCAGTACTGCTGGTGACTCATGGAAGTTCTGGATTGTGAAGACTCAATGAGGTTGCGGATTCCCATTATCTCTGCTCTGTTTCCTCTCTGAGTCACTGTCTTCTACTGTCTACTAACAATTACCTCGCTTCAGTAATCATTAAATGTTTCAGCTCCAATTTTATACCGATACGTCGCAATTTTTAATTTCCTTCCATGCATCCCACATGTTACAAATCTGACAAGTGAACGCATCTCACATACTTCGGATGGATCTGAAAGGGATCAGTTGTGGTGTTGAGTTACGATACTGTTCACGTAACCCTGAATCTACACTTCATGGCCAAAAATATGAGGATACCCCACATGATACAAAGACACTGCAGGCAGTTGTGTTCTACAAACCCTCAATAGGTCATGTTATCTAAGGGAACCTCCAAAAACACGGCCTGCTGAGGGTACTTGAGGACTGAGGTTGCCTAATTCAGATTCGAACAATTGTGCTCTTCGAACCTTGTTTTC